CAAATGCATATCGATAATCGAATCGCGGGAGAAACCGATATGCATTTGCCAAGTATCGAAATCGATTTTTAAAAAACAAAACAAAAAAAATAGATTTTTTTTTTATTTTTACAATTTTTTTTTTTTAAATTACTATCAATACATATATGGCTACATTACGCATCTCCATTTCATTTATCATGAAATAAAGTGTATTTTTTCTTTTATTTATGCCATAAATTGGCATATTGTATATTTCTGACTAATATATCAATAATCGTCATATCGTGATAAAATCGTTATCATGATATCGTTATTGTGATATCGTTATCGTGATATTATCGTTATTGTGAGCTTTGTATCGTGTATCGTATCGTATCGTGAGGTACCCTTAGATTCCCACCCCTAGTTAGAACGTGTACCAAAAAATAAAACATTGTCTTCTGTTGAGACAAGAGCAGAGGATACAAACCATTTTTGTTAGTTCAGTTTAGCTGGCTTTAATAACCTTACACATTATTTCTAAATAACAACCGGCTGATTCCTGACAACTACTCAATGTGTAAAAACTTAAATATCAGCACAACAGCTAAATAGAATTGCATTTAATACAATGTACGGTTACCATTGTGTTTTTAATTGCGTATTAAAATGAACATCTGACAAATAAAAGCCTTGGGTAAATATAATAGAAAAAAACAAATTAGTCTTGTCATATACACCCTCATTAATATTCGTGCTGACATTTCTCCAGACTCTCTCTCCTGTTTAATGCACAGTAGCCTAATCACCACCTGCGTTTAACGATGTGTTTGGAAAGTGTTGCTTGTGAAAAGAACTCTGGTTTCTGCACACGGCACATTTCAGCAGCTCATTATAATGTATTTGTGTATTAATGTAATTGAATGGACTGTTAGTGAATGTAGCTGTCACCAACGCTTAAAAGAAGCCACATTTGCAGAAATCTGTTATCACTCTTTATGGCAGTGTTCCAGAACAGAATACATCACTTTGTTTTCTATTCCAAGCACTGTTTTGTGTCTGGGCAGCTATTTTATGTCCCACAAAACTGTTTCTAGTCATTCTAAGAGGCACAAAAACAGTGGGTATCGCGGTCCTAAATGGATATTGATTTCTTCCCAGACTTAAGTTAAGTGTTTCAATATAATGCTTTATCCCCAAATGCACCACTATATATTCCTTGTACTTATTGGACTATTATGACACAGAATATCTGATTCTTAGATCTGAATTGCGCGGTACGTCATTTATTTTTCTAATTTTACAACCAACGTTGATGTGAGTAAGCACACTGGCAATGTGCTGATGTGTGGCATATTGAGTTTTGGTACATACACGGATATAGCGCATGAGATATGCAGGTGGGGATTAAAATTGAAAATGTAATGATCATATTTCAGAGAGGAGGAGAGTTGCAGCTCGAGCTGAAGCTGTTAGATGCAGCGTGTAGTTTGTTTAGTTGCAGACTAATTGCAACTTTGCTGAAATTTCCCCTCTGTGGGACAAATAAAGAATCTCCTAATCTTAACTGAGCCAGCAAAGTTGATTGTCAAAGAGGCAGAAGTAGTGTGGCGAGTGAGACAGTGTCTGCAGTGAACGCATGACACCAGTCTCCTGCCTTTCCTTCTTTCATCCCTTCATACAGCAGGGCCCACATGAACACCCTGCATTAGGCTACATAACAGACCATCCAGCATTTTTCATTATTGATTATATTACAGCTCACTGTCAATGGTGTTTCAACCTGTCACATTCTCTTCTCTTGTTAGTCCTACAAATGTTGTATTTGTTTTGTCATTTTTTGCATTTTGTACATTGCATTGGGATATGCACTTATTTTCTTGCGTTGTATTTTTTTATACATATAATATTGTAAACACTTGTTTAGTCCCATTTCAGTGTTACATTGTATCCTCATTCATTTCATTTACTCTGATCTGTGATGTTATTTTTCATAATACTTCTATTAAGAATGGGTGACGTTCATTTAGACTTCTATTGTATCCAGGCTAGTTTGAAACTTGATTTGTTTTTGTTACATTTATTCTCTATATTTATATTTCTGCTCTCCATTCTCCATTTTCTCCATTGTGAGATAATAAAGTATCATCTCATCTCTACCAACAGTCGGTTGAGCAGTTCAAGTCATGACCGTTGAACGTCATGGGTTCGAGCCCACCACGAGACCTACTTTTTTTACATTTTTAAATTCATTTATTAAAGGGTCAGTGCATATAAATATACATTATACATCCATCCATCCATCCATCCATTTTCTTCCGCTTTATCCGTTGCCGGGTCGCGGGGGCAGCAGTCTAAGCAGAGACGCCCAGACTTCCCTTTCCACACACACTTCCTCCAGCTCGTCTGGGGGGACCCCAAGGCGTTCCCAGGCCAGCTGAGAGACATAGTCCCCGTGTCCTGGGTCTTCCCCGGGGCCTCCTCCCGGTGGGACGTGCCCGGAATACCTCCCCAGGGAGGCGTCCAGGAGGCATCCGGAACAGATGCCCGAGCCACCTCAACTGGTTCCTCTCGACGTGGAGAAGCAGCGGCTCTACTCCGAGCTCCTCCCGTGTGACTGAGCTCCTCACCCTATCTCTTAAGCCTAGCGTACATCGGACTGGCAACTGATTATATCCGTCGCATATGAGTTGCTGCCCCGCACACATCAACAATCTGACGAAAACGGGCAACTCCCAGTCGCAGACCAGTCTCGGGAATAACAGCGCGTACATCGACAGCAACTGGCCTCAACTACAGTGTGTTTTCTGACATAAACTGTTGCGGGCTCGCAACACACGCAATACACACACGTTGTCGGAGCGGCGCATGGAGCGCGCACATCGGGTCATATCTCCGAAACTGAGGACAACTAGTTGCCGAAAAGTAGAACACGGGCAACTGACTGAAACTGGAGACCGATTGTTCATCTCCAGTTGTAAGAGCGCGCACATCGACCGATTTCGGCAACTGATCATCTCCCACCATCTCCTCTCAGTTGCCAAAAGCCGCCTTGCAACTAGTTGTCCCCAGTTTCTCTGTCGATGTACGCTAGGCTTAAGGGAGCGCCCAGCCACTCTGCCGAGGAAGCTCATTTTACATTATACATTATATGTAATTATGCCAGAATTAGCCTAAGGGCTGTTTTCCATCTGTAGTCCCTGGACAGTTGTTATGTGTCCCCTGATGTCTACTGCTGTTGTGTCCGTGGGCAAGACACTTTCTGGTCCATTGTCTTGTTTGTCCTCGTCTGTCGGTTTCCTTTGAGTTTTCTGTCTCATTAGAGCTGCAGAGCATCAGCTCGATTACATATAGATGAATGATGTTTGCAAACAAATTAAATGTTAAATGTTAGGCTAACAGTTAGGCTAGTTAAGAAACATAGCTACTACCTATTTTGTATATTTTGTGTGCTCCCTGTGTGCGCTTACTACTGTCCTGTCTGTGCGCTGCAACATTGAAATTTCTCCACTGTGGGACAAATAAAGGATCTCTTATCTTATCTTAACAAGCAGTGATCTGACTGGCTTTCCTTAAACGCCATAATACTGATTTGATTGTTGGTGACATCAAAATCCTGAGTTCCCGCGATGAAATCATATAAACACAAACAAGTCACAACACTCGTCTGAACTCGGAGACCTGAGTTCCAGAGGACGTTATGAAAGCGGCATCAATCCTTTAACTCTTTGCAGACTTATTCTAACCATTTCAGCTTTAAAGTCTCCATGCAGTTGCGTGTTTACATAGCATCATTGTTCAAGGTTGTTTTTTGTAATTCCCTCTGCTGCCAGTAGAATTGAACGTTCAAAGTGATTATCTGGAGTTTGTCAGAAAAAAGAGAGAGAGGTACAGGATTTGAAAAAAATGATCCAAGCTCCCTCGCCCTTCCTTTCTGATTGGTCTACACCTACGTTTCGGTAACACATTTAAAAAGAACTATTTGTTATCGTTTTCATGACAAAAATAATGTTTTAATGCATAAAAAAAGCAATCGCGGTAAACCCGGAAGTAGCTATTAACGTTGATTGAACATTATAGGACACATCTGCAGAGGATCTGATTATGGATATAGGTTCAGTATATAAATGATTATGGATATAGGTTCAGTATATACATGATTATGGATATAGGTTCAGTATATAAATGATTATGGATATAGGTTCAGTATATAAATGATTATGGATATAGGTTCAGTATATAAATGATTATGGATATAGGTTCAGTATATAAATGATTATGGATATAGGTTCAGTATATACATGATTATGGATATAGGTTCAGTATATAAATGGGTAACTCAGCGCGGATGTTCAGAATTCTTTGTTCAGTTTTCATGAAGTTCCAGAGCCTAGTAGAGGCTTGATTCGGAGGCTCCGCGAAAACAAACAACTGAGCATGAGCTGCTACGAGCATCAACACTGATGATTGACAGCCCTTGGCATCACTTGATTGGTTAACGTGGACGGCATTGTGGATTTCTAGCTATAGCTAAGAGAAAGGAAGGCGGGACTTACCCGTAATATTAGAATTCATAAAATGACTTATTTCATATCAATATTTAAGGCCAGGAGGTCAATTTAATACAATTCTTAAATGTTGTAATTCATTTAGAGTTCCAGACTATCACTTTAAACAATACAGGCCTTGTCTTTTGTTTTCAATAACAACACTACACTATACTAAAATACAAAACAATACAAATAGCCTTTTTTTTCTTATTGTGCATGATTCCTACTGTGTTCATTGTGTCACCATGGTAACGGAGATATTGTACTTAGACATAATGAACGGTTTCTGAAACAGCACAGATGTTTAAAACCCTCTGATCTTTCTAAAAGCCCATGAAGTGAATGTTTTCATATCCATGCATGTCACAATAACATATGTTTATGTTGCCTCCTGCAGGATGATGACTCTGGGCCTGTTGCTTGTGCTCCCTGGGGCCGCCCTCTCCTGAGCTCTGTCCATTGTCTCGCGGCGTCGCGCTCTGAGAGGTGATGCGGAGGTTTGTGTACTGTAAGGTGGTACTGACCACGTCTCTGGTGTGGGTGCTGGTGGACGTCTTCCTTCTGCTCTACTTCAGCGAGTGCAACAAATGTGACGACAGGAAGGACCGCTCCCTGCTGCCTGCACTGAGGGGTCTGTGCTCATTTGTTCACGTCATTTCATCAATAGAAGAGGGCAACAAAAACTGAAAAAAAGCTGATCTATTGGGCACTGAGGATTTAATGGCACTAATAAAACAGAATATTCGGGTTAGTAATTATTGCGTTAAACATTTACGTTCATTACCTACTTCAATAATGTTAAGATGAATTAATGTACGGGTAATACAAAAAACAACTGTTTTTTTTTTTACAATCGTTCTTGTAACTCCACGGACCTGACTTGTATTTTGCTGAGTGGTTAGCTTCTGCTTTGGAAATGTTCTTCCTTTGATAAAACCTATTTGTCATTTCCCACACTGAATATGTACTGCTATAGTTGTTATGGGCATATGAACTGAAAAAGCTAGATCAGCACATCCATATTTATGAGTAGCATTTGCGTTGCACTACTCCCAGATAGCAAAATTGTTGTGGCCCAGATGTGGGCCACATCAACACGGGTGTTGATGCGGCCCACATGTACCACGTGGATGTACGGCGATAGCATGATTCTAACTCGTATGCCAGATGTGGCCCATATATGAACCTTATTAGGGCCAAATGTTTACCAGATCTTAACCACATCCAACACAAGTGGCCCGAGTACGGGCCAGAAACGGGGTATCTCTGGCCCACATCCGGCCCAGTTCCGCTCTGCCACAAGCGGCTTTTTAATTGTAGCCCAGATTTGGCCCACATTTGGATGTCCGGCGATAGCATGATTCTAACTTGTATGCCAGATGTAGCCCATATATGAACCTTATTAGGGCTGTTACATAATAAATCATATATACATACATTTTATCTGCAGGGGTTTCATGTAAAAGTTGAATGAAGTTGGGTCAAATTTTCATCACTTTGAACAAATTATAAAACCTGATGTTGCATTCACAGCATGATATTGAGACCATAGACTGAGTATATTAACGGACAGAGTCACGCCTATCTCCGCCGTTCTAACTAATGGGCCAAAAAATGTGCTCTTATGGAGCTATCCAAAATGGCCGCGAGTGGTCCCGCCCACAAGAAAATTGTGAAAAAACGCATCTGCGCATGCGTCAGCCGGCGCAGCTCCATTCATTTGAACGAGAGACTTAAAAAATTCACAGCAAGTAAACTAGACTGGACCAAAAAAGTTCACCCCCCTCAGCATTGACACACATGTGGAACGGAGCTTTGGGCCAAGAGCCAACTTTTGGTCCATCCTGTAAAGACGTTTTCCAGAGGTCTTTGCTTCCCTTTTTGTCTATTTTCACACGCATGTAGCCAACATTGGGCTAGAACTGATTTGATTTGCCACATATCAATTGACTTGTCCAGCTGTATATGCATTTTGATCAATCATTTTGAAATGGGTTATTCTGTATTAGCCTCCCAATTTCAATTTGTATTAGTGCTTGTATACGTTCATGTGCTGGTACCTTAAAATTACAAATGTTTTACAACACAATGTATGGGTTTTAAAACAAATTATACAACTGGATTCATGCTGTTCATTGCTTTAAAAAGAGCTACAAGTTGAACATAATGCTTTGCTTGATGGATTTGGGATTTTCCACATACAGATTATCCGCTGAGGCTACAGAATATATTGAAGAGTTTAAATGTCTCAGGCTCAGGAGGACCATTCTTCTCCTTGACAATGGCAGACACTGGCCACAGAATGTTTGATTGTTTGTTTTGAGGGAGGTATTATTAGTATGTTTTGTCTGCAAATTAATTGAAAGAAAAAGTTTATCAGGTGGTGATTGACCAACATTGGATGGATTGGCACCAAATTACAGTCTTCCAAATAATAATTCAATCCCAAGAGCTGGTCATGTTTCTCTTACAAAACATGACCACGATATCTGGAAAGAAGCTGTCGCAGAGTCTGTCCTGGGGTCAATAAATCTGATTCAGTGTGGCTGCCTGCAGCTGTAGAGCCTCCAATTACTGCAAAAGGCCTTCCTCACTCTCACAGGTAATGGCCCCTACGAGGGATCATCAGTCATATTTTAGCAGCCAACAAAAACGGGCAGCTCCTCTGGGCTTGTCTGTTTACAAGCACCAGACTACAATTTGTTCTGAGGGAGATTTTTTCATGACTTTAAACCTACATGCAGAAGTTTGAAAATAGAATTGTTATCCTTAAGCAGGGGGGCCCCTGGACTCAAAAATGAATATGTTTAAGCCCCACTTTGGGGCCCCCTGCTCTAGAATGTTCTAGAAAATGTAGGAACATTCTAAAGTTGTCCTATTTGGATCCTGTGTGAACTCTGCCTTTTTAGTACCAAGCTGGGGTACCTAACTTTAAAAAGACTAAAGATGAAACTTTCTCAAATATATCTAGCTCGTTCCTCGCTCTCAAAACAGCTTGGTTAAATTTCTTGTTTTATAGCAGATTTAGATCTGCTTTTTCAGATATAAAGGTGAAAAAGAGAGCACCTCTCACCCACTCTGTGGGCTCTTTCTTTTAAGAAATATAAAATATGTTTTTATAAAGATACAGACAGCTTTCTGTGGTGGGATTTTATCACAACATTTTACATTTAAAGACTTTCAGTTGTTGCAAAGAAATAGAAATATTAATTGTTATTAAATAAAAGACATAATTCCAAAAGTAGCTTTGAGTGGCATTTACGAGTCTTCACTGACTTCTTTTCAATGTTTTGACATTGCATTATCAAACCAAGTCTTGTCTTTGAATGTTGCACTTTTTGTTTCTCTTGAATGCGTTGGTTTTACCCTGTGGAGGCAGCGTCCAGACATCTCAGACACCTCCTGACTAAATGAGAGCGAGGGTCTGGCTAACCTTTTGTGACTCTGCAGTCTACTTATCCATTCGGTGCTTGTTTCAGAAGGCTGCAGTGAATACTGTTCACATCAGGTGTGCTAAAAGTGGCGGAGGACTGCAACAATGTTTCTCTTCCATAGAGTGCATTTAATGAGAATTCACCATTTTTCCATGTAATAGCATGCAATGAATCCAGTACATTTGCTCAATAAATGCCTGGTCGCTGTCATGCACCAAACATCCTCTCTGGCCACCCTGGGAAAGCCATGTTCCAGCTTCTTCCCTCTGGCAGAAGATATCGGTCGCTGAGATGCAAGACATCTCGCTATGCTAACAGCTTCTTTCCACAGGCTGTTAGGTGCCTAAACAGAGCACTTTAATTCCTGCTTTTACCCCTTGTATCGTTTTGTTGATCGGTGCCACAATGTCAGCTGTTTTTTTATTATTTTATATTCAGTGTATGTGTATTTTATATTACATTGTATCGTGCTTTTTATTCTGTCGGTGCACACAGAGTACCTTTTTTTTGCAAATTTATTCCAATGTAGTTTTTATACTCAACATGGCCAATAAATGAATGTGAATCTGAACATCCATGACATGTTAGTGCCATATGAACCTACTCTGACTCAGGAGCACATGGACTGGCCACCTATGGCGCCCAGAGTCAGGACTAAACTTCAAAAAGCTGTGCTTCAGATTTATGCAGCAAAAAAAAAATCTGGATCAGTCAGAAGTGTGAAACAGGCTTCTACCAAAATAAATCCATGGCTCCTACTCTGACATTGGGTTAGGGCATAGATACTGTGCTGTATCTACGCTTTTCTTATCAAGACACTTTTCTGATCTAAGAATGATTAACACAATGATAAACAATTACACTAATATGAATATAAGATGTCCATATAAAGTACTAATCATCATTAAAAGCAGAGGTCAAGGACTTATGGCTCAGGAGCATACTCAAAGATCAAAAAACACAAATGCTGCATTTCAAATGTTGCTGTATCAAAATGGCCGCCCACATCCATCCAGTTATTTCCCCATCTTGTCAACTTGATTATTTACCTGCTGTTATAAAAGACAGATTTTGCTTTCTCAAACGTTTCTCGTCTTGCCTCAGAATATTTTGTGATGACGGTACACTCTGGTCCCTCTCGCTGTCACCTTCCATACAGAGTGCTTAAGCTGAGTGCCCACTGGGCCTGTATTAAATGTCCTCCGCAGAATCCTACATTTTGTGCTGAGTGAGATGGCTGACTTTATCCCCTCAAAGCCCCTGCTCTCCTCAGTCTGATGAAGTGCTCTATAGGTGCGCTTGGCACCTTCTGCATTACAGCGTTTAACATATCACCTGAATTATGCACACTCTATATAATCCTCCTTTATTGGAAAAACCTGCACTCACACAGTGTACTGGTTCAACTGCCCTTCTTATTAAAATACAATCGTTAGATGTATTCAAGATTTTGTACTGATTTGATGAAGATCATTCTAAGTAGTTCCTTTTGTTATGAAGTGGATTTTTTGTTGAGTTATGAAATATTACTTCCTGATTGTAATATTGAGGACATCACACTATAAGGAATACTTTTAGATGCAGGGATATCATTTATATTTGTTATATGTTAGTTTTTATTGAATAATTTTCATAATTCATTTATCACTTTGTGTGTGAACAGCTGTGATCTCCCGAAGCCACGAGGGTCCAGGTGAGATGGGCAAAGCTGTGAACATCCCCAAAGACGACCAGGAGAAGATGAAGGACCTGTTTAAGATTAACCAATTCAACCTGATGGCCAGTGACATGATCGCTCTGAACAGAAGTCTGCCGGATGTTCGACTGGACGGGTGAGTGTGGTCCATGTTCACATACGGCTCCATGGCGGCAGCAGTAACAGGAATAATACAGTGTAGTACTTACTTTACTTGAGACACCAGCAGTGCTCTGTGCCAGCTCTATGGTACTGTGTTCAGCGAGCCACATCTACCAACATGTATCTGTCGGTTTTGCATTAGGGTCTGATGTTTTTAGATGTCTGTGATATATTTTTGACATGTAAGTTTTGTAAATTGAATATTTAATTGCGTTTTTTGTTTAACCCTTTATAAACAGATTCAGTTAATTTAATGTCAGTGTCATGTAAAGATAATATATTTACTTAGCCAATCTGCCTATCAGTAGAATAATCGGATTTTCCAAGTGTCACTTAAATACATGGTGACATATTTTGCCTGAACGCAGTGAAGAAGTGGATCATCCAAATGAAAGTGGCACAGAATGGGAAAAGGTGTTGTCCCATTCTGTGCCTGAAACTCATGATAGACAGAAATGCATTTTTTTGAGGACCAATGACGTGCTCCAACCCAAGAAAGAGCTGACCTGAATATTTCCTGAATATTCACCAAATTCATTACTAAGTTAATTATGCCTTTGTTAAATCCCATGGGCATATTTTAAGAGGTGTATTTGTATTTTAAATATTTACTGTAGCTTGCATTCTGTAAACATGTAATTATTACCACTACAATCTCTTCAGTCTGAGGGTCCAGAGCACTTTGTCCCGAAGGCGTCCTGCTGGCCTCGTTGTCTCCATCACAGCTGTCACCTTCAATAGACAGGGCTCCGTTAGCTCCGTTTGCTTTGATGACTTCAGCCCCTTCACCTCCTCCCTCCCCCGCACACAGACCCCCCTCTCTCCGTCTCTCCCTCTCCCCCGCACAAAAACCTGCTGTTCTCTCCCTCTCCCCGCACTTCTCTCTTTCTCTCTCTCTCTCCCTCTCTCCCCCACATACACTCCTCCCTCTCCCTATTTCCCTCTCCCTTTCTTTCCCTCTCTCTCTCTCTCTCTTCCTCTCTCCCTCTCCCCAGACCTCCCTCTCTCTCTCTCTCTATCTCTTTCTCTCTCTCTTTCGCTCTCTCACACACAGATCCTCTGTCTCCCTCTCCCCAGACCTTTCTCTCTCTCTCTTCCTCTGTCTCTCTTTCCCCAGACTTCCCTTTCTCTCTCTTCCTCTCTCTCCCTCACACACAGACCTGCCTCTCTTCTTCTGACTCCCTCTCTCCCCCGCACACAGACCTCCCCCTCTCTCTCTCCCTCTCTCTCTCTCCCTCTCTCCGCCCACCACCCGGTGCGCTGTAATCACCAGGGTCCCGTCCTGCGTTGTCCCTGCCTCTGACAGACGGCACATCAGGTCCGGGACATGCTGACACGGCTGTCGACTTTATTTTGGCCTGTTTTCTTCTTCTGCGATGTTTGTCGGTAAATCTCAGAAGACAGTGTTGTTTATGCGTAGATGCCATCTCTGGCTGCAGGGGGACTTTTCATACAATATAATGAGCTGGAGGATTGGGGCAGAGCTGTCAGTGGAGTGTGAAATGTATATGATAGAATTAGACTAAACACTTACACATCACACTATTCTCAGTTTATCGTCGTGAAGTAATCCTGTTTTGTAATGTTGAGGATGACTATGAAATATAAGATTATGTCAAACCATATGCCCAAGAATATTATCAACATATTTCTTTCTGATTACTTAGATACTGTACATCAGGTGTCTCCAACCTTTTTCACCTAGAGAGCTACTTTCCCGGGATGATAAAGGCAGAGAGAAACTCCTTCAAGCAGCCCTGGGAAAAATGTGGCGATATATTGGTGTGAACGGGTACATTCATTATTCCATCCATTTTCTACCCTTTAATCCATTTCTGGGTCAGGGGGGTGGCAGTCAGAGATGCCACCCAAGTCTCATAGCACCAGCCCCTCACTGACCCTCTGCAGGTGGTGAGTCCACAGGAGCACGGCTGCTCTCTGAGTGTGAGCATAGCCTTGATCTTTCAGTGGGGGCTTTTGGGCAAAGTGGGGTTAAGTGTCTTGCCCAAGGACACAACGACAGCAGTCATCAGTGGGAGTCGGTGGAGAAGGTGCAGAGGTGGGAATTGAACCCACGACCTTCTGGCCTTAAGGCCAATGCTCTACCAACTGAGCTATTGTCGCCCCTACATTCATTATTTATCATTGAATATTTGTTACTAGTGACAAAGTAAGGGAATTTACAGTAATACATTATATATACACACACACACACACACACACACACACACACACACACACACACACACACACACACACACACACACACACACACACACACACACACGCACACACACACACACACACATTTAGTATTCAGGCATCTATAGTCTGAATCTATTGTACTATATTAAATCTAGAATCCACAGCTTGACTAAACCCATAATGATGGGTTTAGTCAAGCTGTATTTTCTTCCCTGGTCTCATTGGCTGTAATTAGGATTATGAAAAAGTAACATCATTTACCATCCATCCATCCATTTTCTTCCCCTTAATCCATTTCTGAGTCGGGGGGGTGGCAGTCAGAGCTGCACCCAGTACACTTAGCACCAGCCCCTCACTGATCCTCCTGCAGGTGGTGAGTCCACAGGAGCTGAGATCTTTCAGTGGGAGCTTCAGGCAAAGTAGGGTTAAGTGTCTTGCCCAAGGACACAACGACAGCAGTCATCAGTGGGAGTCGTGAAGTAGGTCTTATGGTGGGCTTGAACCCACGACCTTCAGGCCCAAAGACCAATGCTCTACCAACTGAGCTACTGTCCCCCCATGGTAACATAATTTACCATGACATGATTATTGTAGGGTCGCGGTGGCTGAGTTGGTCGCACTCACGGTTCTCAGAAAGAAGGTTGTGGGTTCGATGGTGTGCAGGCTTGCTGTGTTGTGGTCAGTTTCCTCAGGGAGATCCAGATGTGGCACTGTGCTACGGCGATCACTGCTCCTGACAGGTTTCCCTAGCAGCATTGAAGGATGGGTCAAATGCAGAGGACTAATTTCACTACAGGGACAATAAAGTCCTTAAATACATTATTAAGAGCTTTATCCATGTTTCCATGTTGCAACAGTTTTCCCATTTCCTTAGTCGTTGAACAATCTTTATTCTCTTGCACACAATCCTTCACCGCAACTATTTTAGATTGAAAAACAATATAGCAGACAAAAAGTGTGTGCGTGTGTGTGTGTGTGAGAGAGAGAGTGTGAGCTCATCATATTAATGTATGTAAAGAGAGATAGAGAAGAAGGTGGGCTGGGTAAATGGTATATGGTAAATAAATATATTTATTTATTCTTAATTAAGAATAAATAAATATATTCTTAATTCTGCTTGCTAAATGTATGGTCATGTGTCATAGTATTTATTTTTTTACTGCTTTACAACGACCTTCTCAGGGACTACAGGTGTAAATTAGCACTGCTGCTACAACCTGGTACAATGCATCTCTCTTCTTGGCTAATGTTTATTATACACTGTCCCATTCATAACATACCAAAAAACTTTTTTCACCAGTACTTTTAAGTTCTTTGACTTTTATAATAATTGTGTCTCTATCTTGTTGCCTCTATCCTTCTGTTTTTAGCTGCAAGACCAAGGTATACCCAGACGACCTGCCCACCACCAGTATAGTGATCGTGTTTCACAACGAGGCCTGGAGCACGTTACTGCGCACTGTGCACAGCGTGATCAGCCGCTCCCCACGACATCTGCTGCTCGAGATCATTCTGGTGGATGACGCCAGCGAAAGAGGTGGGCAAGCCTTCATTATAGGTCTGTAAGTGTGTGTGGGTGTAGGTGTGTGTGTAGGTGTGTGTGTGAGCAGCGTGTATAAGTGTGTGTGTGTGTTTACATGTGTGTGTATGTTTCTTCCTACACCAAGGATTCATGGATTCACGGCTTCACTTGTTGAAGAGACACACAAGACATTACTGTATATGAAAATTTTACTTTTAGGAGGACATTTTAAAATCCTCCTCATCAATAGTTAGTTTTACGTTTTCACCAAAAAAAACTGGCTCTTCTCTCCCTCGCACACTGAGCAACGCAGGCTGGTGGGTTGGAACGACTCGCCTTTTAACCCATCTTTTCACCTAGGTTTTTTGCTGAGGGTGGAAACAGTACAACCACATATTGCAATACTTTAGAAAGCAATAAAACAAAACTGCACTTCTAATCTTGTTGCCATCCCTCTCTTTTACTTGTACATGTCTCATATAACACTGCAGAGAAATAAAATGTTACTTTTATTTGAAAAAACAAAAACTAAAAGGGAAAAAAAATCACTTATTTCTTTTATTAGTCTCACAGCTGTCTATTTCTAATACATAACACTCGACACGACAAATGCTCTTACAGGGGACATATCATGAAAAATCCACTTTTTGTGCCTTAAATGCCTTATGTTGTGTATTTGGAGCCTCTAGAAGTGCAAAAAAGTTGAAATCAGTCTCTTCATGGGTTGCAGAGAACACTTCATATTCTGTTTAGGTAAGATTTTTCAACCCGTTCTGATTTTGCCATTCTCTATTACGTGTTTAGAATTATTACGTCACAGTATTTGCAGCGAGACTGCTATATAAGGGCATGGGCGTCTAACAAAACACTTCGGCCCAGCCCTCCTCTACTGTGCATCACTTAATTTGTAGTCCAAGCTCAAGGATGCCAGCGAACATGTACAGGGCTGGACTGGCCATCGGGCGTACCGGGCAATGCCCAAAGGGCCGATGCCCATATTTGGGCCGGTCTGTCTGCCTCATACAAAACACATGTTTATGAGAAGTGTAAATCCGTTAAGAATTGTTGGAGCGGGGCGCGCGTATCAGCGGGGCACCTGCTGTATGTACTCGAACGGGATTCCGCCACCTCAGCGGCCGCAGTGTTCCGGGGCATCTGCGGCCGCTTTGTAATGAGCAGCTTCCGCGTCCAGCGGCTGCGAGAGGCTGTGAGCGTCCAGCCGCTCGCAGCCGCTCCACCGTGTTGTGGCTGAGCGCGCAGCCTCAACGTGGCCATGTACCCAACCCCATAAACGCGCACAGGACCATGCGTGTCTTTGAGTAATCTGTGCACCCAATAAATACACTGCTGCAGGAAACAGTCCGCGTCTCCCCTCTCCTCTCGAAGCGCGATTAAACGCCATAAATAAAACTCTGATACCTACATTTTGCATTGCATTAAAAGTGCATGTTTGAGCCCAAAAGTAATATGTTGTGAACAAATTAAACAGATTTAGAGCCAGCAAATGGCTGACAATATGCATTTCAGTCTTTTTTGACCAATTCTCATCCCTGTAACAAACAATAGTGTTGTCTGTGTCCACCTCCCTCACTCTGAGACATGTTCATTACTCTCTTGTAATGTAGACTATTGCATTTTATTTTATTGTTGAAACTGCACACATCCTGATCCTCTACAGTATTTGCTTCCACATACTGTACAAACTAGGAGTCGGCAACCTGCGGCTCCGGAGGCGCATGTGTCTTTTTCCTTCTGTAGAAGGAAAAACGTTCTTAACGTTTTTAAATGCTGTAAAATTGTGCATAAGTAATATTCAATTTAAAATTTTCTGTCAACGTGTCTGTCAAACCGGCGTGTGAGCATCATAGACTGTGCGCATGGATCCCAAAGCTAAAAAGAGAAGAGTCGATAATAAGACTGGACTAAGAATGAAAATTTACATTTGCTTTCAGTCAATGAGGAAGGCCTGCTTCATGTTTGCGATGTAATGAGAAGTTTCTATGAGATAATTGTATTTGTGCTTAGAAACTACAAAAATGGCCGCTCGGGGTGGAGTTGAACCTGTGTCACCTGGATGGGGGCGTGGTCAAAAGCGCCTCATTTGCATTTAAAGAGACAGCACCAAAACAGGTTGCTCTCAGACGCACCTCAGAACAGGTGTAGAAGAAAGGCCCGTGGAGCTACAAATAATGAGACTCAGACCCAGGCATTACAGTTACGCTTTATATAGGCCACAAATTAATGATTTAGATGTAAAAATCAATTATTTGAAAACACGATATGTCCACTTTAATGACTGGCATGTTTGTGTATTTTGCATCAGACTTCTTGAAGCAGAAGTTGGAGGAGTACGCACAGAGCCTGGAGGTGTCGGTGAAGGTGCTGAGGATGGAGCAGCGGTCAGGCCTGATCCGAGCGCGGCTCAGGGGGGCGGCCGCCACCAGAGGCCAGGTTATCACCTTTCTGGACGCTCACTGTGAGTGCACGGTGGGCTGGCTGGAGCCGCTGCTGTCCCGCATCAGAGAGGACAGGTATGCAGTCTGCAGACGGCCTGTGCAAATAACTTTCTATTTTCACTATTGCAAATCCAAAACTTTATGCCTGATCCTTTTTTTAGAAAATAGATTTGAAAGTCTCAGTCCTCATTCGCTTCATCACAATAATTTCTTCTGTGAAACACGCATGATAACCGTCTGGCTTCCTTATATAAACAATTGTATGTTTTTGAATAGAGCAGAATAGAAATGATTTTTTGATTCATCTTATTTTTTTAATTTTTTAGCACGACTTTTCTGCAATCACTGCAAAAAGTGTCTCTTAAAAAAAACAAGAAAAATAGCTACATGTATTTATTATTTATTATTTTTTCAAGCTAAATTATCTGCCAGTGGATCATGATTTTTACACTTAAGATTTCTTGTATTTTCAGCCTGCATGAGTAAAAATGTCAAAACAAAACAAAACGTTGTGATTTGATAAATAAACTGAAATCAAGTGAATTACACAAGTCTATATTTTCACTTTTTGCAGTGATGTCTGAGCAACTGTGTCCTTGTAATATCCCTTGTGGCTCATTACAGTTAATCCAGGTTTATGCCTATGATTGGAAACCTTACACTTTCAGAAGCTTTATTGAGCCTTTAATTATGATATTGTTATATTAAGAAAGTGCAATTATGTGTGGAGTGTATTCAAAGACCTTGGTTACTGAGACACAAATGCCCACAGTGCTGAGGATGAAAACATTCTGCATATGTCCAGGATAAATCTGATACTTTTTAAGTCTTCATTGAATCTCATTGTGCTCTTTTACCTTTTCTCAGCCTGAAGCAGTCTTTTGTTAGCACTGTATTCTCACATTTCACTTGAGTTGCATCATTCAGAGCCTGGGCCAAAATTGAATATTGATGGAGCAGCAACCTATGAGTTATAATACAGCGTTCAGGCCTGACTCTGCTGATAGCAAATGATACGAGGAATTCTGCTTTCATTGCAGACACACAAGAAGACACAGTACTTACCGAAGCCTCAAATCTTCAATACTTTTGCTTTTTCAATATTTTTGTGTTGGTGGAATAGAATAAGATTGTCAGTGTCAGCTAGTTCGCCTGCGGGGTCATGTGAGGCATTCGTTTCTCTTGTCAAACAGTGCCGTTTTAGTGAAAGGAAATGGCAGAAAGTATATGCCGCTGTATTTGCTGTATGAAGTGGAATTTGCAAGCTTTCTGATAGAAGGTCAAACAGCTGCCTACCCCCAAGGATATATGATTGAATTTACTGGAATACTTTGAATTATGGCATTAAACTTCCATGTCTATGTAGAAAACAAGCAGGTAACACAACCAGCCAGATAACAGTGAGAACCCAAACTCAAAAAAACAGACTAATCCTTTGTTGAGTGTCTGAACAAATTGTTGTTTTGGAGTAGTAGAGTAGTGTGAGAAAGGTTTTGGAGTTATGGAAAGTCCAATGCACAAGTTTTAAGGGTTTTTAAGTGAGGTTTTTATCAATTATTTGACAAAATGAGAGATATTACATGAGGCGTTGTGAGAAGAGAAAACGTGCGGGTTGAAAGATCATTATTGAAAGTAAAGTGGTCAACAGGATTTTTGTAGAAAGAGCAGGTATCGCACACCAAAAAATTAATTAATGAGGTGCAGATGCGAGAATCAACATTTCAGGAAACAGATTAGCATTGCACACTCAGCTCAGATGTCCAAAATCTTATTTATTCATGACATTTTGGCTTCAAGCCTTCATCAAATCATGTTTTTCTTTTTCTTTTGACCACATAATCCACATGTGGAAGAGGAGCTATCTCTGCCTCAGCTGCAGCTCTGGTCAGCTCTGGTGTTTTTGTATCATTCTCCTCATCCTGTGCCGTTGCGATGATGATCTCAGGAGTGCAGTAGTGTGCCCCATCATCGACGTGATCAGCGACGAGACGTTCGAGTACATGGCGGGCTCTGACATGACGTACGGGGGCTTCAACTGGAAACTGAACTTCCGCTGGTACCCGGTTCCCCAGCGAGAGATGGACCGACGCAAGGGCGACAGAACTCTGCCTGTCAGGTGCTCAAATACAACACTTTGAAATGCTAGAAGACAAATAGTTCATAATATTTATCCTTAAAATTATATTATAACAGCTGTATTCACACATAGCATCACAAAGCCATTGGACATTTATGTTAGGGCTAGTCATACCATGTGCAATGTCACAACAAACTTTCTTGTGATTGGAATTTGGCTTTTGATTGACAGTATTAATGCACTCAATCCCTGTTATATGTGACTACACTATCGTACAATTACAAATTAGGAGACAGAAAAGGTTAAATACAACACTATCTCCTCCCGTTTGAATAAAGGATTTATCTTTTCTGGAAGCTTACAGGGGTGACAGCTCTCTCATTTTCCCCCAAGTTCCTTGAAGAGCCACTTTGTTGTGTAATACATCATTGTCTGGCTGGCTGCTAATTTGGCAGGCGTGTGACAAAACTGGAGTACTAATTTATATAAATAATTAGAAAAAACAGCAGGTCTTCTCTTTTTGTCCAGCAGAAGACAAAGTTGGCATAATTTGTCATCTGTATGCAAATCACTCCCAGCAACAAACAGTGGACTAATTTTTGCGCGTAGGGAATGAATTAGAAAAGATGAAAGTGATTACTCCTCAAAGGCTGTATTTCCAAATAAACAAATCAATGTTTTCCTTTGAATCCCCAGCGTGTGATACAACTAATTTGGCTCATTTTCATTGCACATATCGCCGTCTAATGATTCTTATGTTACTTCCAGAACTCCCACAATGGCCGGGGGATTATTCTCTATAGACAAGTCGTACTTTGAGGAAATCGGCAGCTATGATCCGGGCATGGACATCTGGGGAGGAGAGAACTTGGAGATGTCTTTCAGGGTGAGTCACACACACACACACACACACACACACACACACACACACACACACACACACACACACACACACACACACACAATAATGACAGAGTTCATTGGAGCAGTTTTTTGCATCTACCAGTGCATAGCAGAACATGTATAATTTTGTCTACAGATATGGCAGTGTGGCGGCTCCCTGGAGATTGTCACCTGCTCCCACGTCGGCCATGTTTTCCGTAAAGCCACGCCGTACAGTTTCCCCGGGGGCACAGGGCAAGTCATCAACAAGAACAACAGACGTCTGGCTGAAGTCTGGATGGATGAGTTCAAAGACTTTTTCTACATCATATCTCCGGGTACAAGACACAAGAGCAATTCTACCATCTTTACTAGGGCTGTCAAACGATACATTTTTTGTTGTTGATTAATTGCAGAGTAATGGTGAGTTAACTCACGATTAATCGCATTTTTTTCATTCTATTTCAAATCCACTTCAATTGAAGTTAATGAGAATGAGATTATCAAATGTAATTACACATTGTCATTCATACCATATGTACTTAAATCTGTTAGATTTGCTCACAACCTTTTGCTTTTGGGCACAAGCAAAATGAGCTGTTAATGAAAGGGGGAAATTTACGTACCAAAGCTTTAATTCAGCGAGTTTAATTTAGTTTAGTTTCAGGAAAAGACAGGGACACTTTCGCGGTGTATTTGCATGCACAGGTTACGCACAGGTTGCAAAGACACAAACACAACATGCAGAGAATAGTTCAGTGGCGTGTATGGTCTTATATGACCATGTTACCGCAGCGGCATTCGCTCACAGCTGCTCACAGCCGTGTTGTTGTCAGCTGCAGCCGCTAACAACAACCAGAGCGGCCGCGGAGGAGGCGGACCTCAGTCCATAGCAAATAACAGCCCCGCAGTGACGCGCGTATTCTTTTAAAACATGAATTCCCAGAGGGCCTTACGTGCTCTGATGCCATCTCACACGCAGCATTCTGAGTGTTATTATGGATAAATGGGCGGGTCATTCAGACATGCGTTAATGCGTTAATTTTTTTTTAATGCGTTAATGAAAAATGTAATTAACGTGAGTTAACGCGATCATTTTGACAGCCCTAATCTTTACACATCCATGCAGTGGTTTTAAGACTTCAGGAGGTTGAAAAGCAAAGTGGCCCTGTCCTAATTACAGTTGTTTAATCATAGTTGCTGTTCAGGTCCTCAGGAGTGAATAGCTGAGAAATAACTAATACAGAACTTTTTCTTAATAGCATTTGCCTGCAACCTTACACAAAGTGGTGACAATATTCAACAACATATGCAATGAGTTGGCTCGTAAAAAGGACTTAAGAGTAATATTATAGTAAATATAGTTTTTACATTTTCTTTTTCAACTATTCATTGTAGAATGTTATCTTCTACAAAGATGATTTCTTTTGGCACCTTCCCTCCAACTGAAAAATAATTCTACATCATGATGCAAATATTACCAGTTACTTGACAGAAATTGCAATTTTTTTAGGAATTTTTTTATTCAGTTAATGATTGTATACAGTGTAAGAATGAAAACATAGCCATAACATTTATTTGTAGCTATTGCCAGCAGTTGCATTAGGCACTGCTTTGTTTTGCTTGTAACCAAATGGGAACATGAAGTTTAACTAACTTTTGGTTGCTGCAATCTGGTCTCGGGCACTTGTGGCTGTTTAAAGTTCACACATGTGTCATCAAGGATTGTCTTCTGTTGATGGCACAGAACAATGCCAAAGGCTTTGGCAGACAGAGATATTTGGGCCTTCCATCTGTCCTTTTAGTAATGTGATTACCCTTTAGCGAGAAGCACTGTCCAGGAAATCTCTCGTTAAGTGTTTGAGATGCCAGCCAGTCTATTCCGGATCATCTTTAATCCTCACATCTTCTGGCACCACGTCACGTCGCGCACAAACTCAAACAGACAAAGGCCCACTGGTTTTATGAAGAAAATACGATAGACATTAAAATGATGTCAATGCTCAATCTGCAATTCTAACAGACCTTGTGATTTATTTTAAAATGTATGTTCCACTCTAATTGGTGCGTGATGGTAGGACCAGACGGGGCAATTCAATCTATTTCAGTCGGGAAACTGAGGATCACAACGTATAAGTAGGGTCACTTATGGGGCCCCAGTGGAATTTAAGACTATAAAGACGATTGTAGGGATGAAAGATTGAATAAAAGCTGTAGAGACTGCTTTTAGTCTGTTCTTAAGAATGCACAAAGACAATTAATACATTAAAAAAAGTCCCAGTGATGACCAGATAACTTGACGCATATAAATCATGCGAAAGATATGAAATGGTGTTTCTATTTAGATATTGTCTTTATAAATCCAGATATGGCCCATTCTACCGTATATATGATAGCAAAGTGTAATTCGGTAATAATGTGATAAGTTAAAAGTAAAACACCTATATCTGATAATTTTACCTGTGCCAAAGTGGTCCAACCGGATTGAAACAATGCCCAAAGGAGCCCGTTTTTTTGTAATCCGTATTCTATCACGTAAATGTACTCAATGACAAAGACTAATATAACTGCTGTTACAACTTAAAACGTACCCTTGCTTGATGATTTGAAAATTCTTAATTTTGTGTGCAGCAGAAAGTTAAAAACGGGAGACTAAATGAAAATAAAAACAGCAACAAAATTGCAGTGTGACTGTCACGTGACAAGTGATAAGATGGAAAGGCAACCATCTTTTCTCTTGTCCATGTTTCTTTGTGCGTCCTTGTACTGTGCTCTGATGAAAGACGCTCCGTCAGTCGGCTTTCATCTGCCTCAATGTACATTAACTCCTTCAAGATTATGTCTCACTAAGATTAAAGAGCATTCAGGAGGTTTGTTATGTCTTATGTGTTTGATGGATCAGAAATACACCTGTCAGTGCCTTTAATTAGAAAGATACATTTGGCAGATCAAAAGAAACATCAACAATGTATTCCCTTTCTGATGATTACAGTGTGTTAGGCCGGCGGCTCACTAGGATTGTATGTACACTTGTCTTTGTATTGTTATGACATCATCAGGGCTGCAGACTGCTATATTGGTAGTATTAACTAAGTAGTCTTATTTTTGTAACTATATATGTTGCTTACTATCATACACACTAAGGTCACCCAGAGCGCTTGTTTGGAGTACCTTTAATACATGTTTACCTTTCGATTTGTATGTATTATTAGTAATGTATTAACAAATCCATGCTTTAGATTGATTGTTAGAACAAGCACAGTTGAAAAATAATATTTCAAAATCAGTATGTCATAATTAGTTCTGTGCAGTCAGGGTTCATGTGGTTTTAAATCGTTAGATTAATTATATGAATAATCTAAACAATCAAATTGTAACAAAAGCCATCAAATAACTTCTATCTTAACTCAATATTCTAATCTAAAAGGCAATTTCTGTCAAATTTGGATTTCAGCGAATAGAAAATGGGACCAAAATACATTATTCTCTAGAGGGAGTCCGGATTTACTGTTGCTGCAGACTTCACTCGGTCCTTAGGTTGGATGTCACATATTGAAAGCTTGGTTGGCGTTGCTGTGTTTAGGAAAGAGTAGCAACAACACATTGAAATACATTTGACAAGCCTGAAGTTCAAGAAACAGTTCTATTATAGACCATTTCCTTGATAGCAGTCAGACTGTGAGATGACAAATGGCCTTTGTGTAATGCGTGTGTGAGATGTTGAAGAAGACTCTGGAGACGAGCCATCTGCCTAATGTCTTTGCAAGTGTGCGTGCCCAGAGCTCAATCCTCTCCGTCTTCAGCCGCCTGATTAATCATACTTTTTTGGAGAGGGTGTCTGCTTTTCTCCATTGCTGCATTTGTGATGAGAGACTTTTCTTCAACTGTGTAAACAAAACACATACTCTCATGAAACCTCAGCTAATTTGGAATTGAGAGCAGCTATAACTGACTTTGGACGAGCTGAGAATGATTTGACATGTATTCAGGCTACACATCCATCCATCCATTTTCTTCCGCTTCATCCGTTGCCGGGTTGCGGGGGCAGCAGTCTAAGCAGAGACGCCCAGACTTTCCTATCCACACACACTTCCTCCAGCTCATCCAGGGTTTTTTGACCAGGTTTTGCACCAATTAACTTTTTATTTAGCAATAACAACAAAGACATTAGCAAAACTTGCAAACTCCACATAGAAAGGCCCTGTCTGGAGGTGGAACCAAACCCATGACCTTCTTGCTGAGAATCTTGATGATGCAATTTTGTTCCAGGCGTGATGCGCGTGGACTACGGCGATGTGTCTTCCCGCAGAGCCCTCCGCGAAGCCCTGAAATGCAAACCGTTCTCCTGGTATCTGGAAAACATCTATCCGGACTCACAGATACCCAGACGATACTACTCCCTTGGTGAAGTACGGCCTGTTTTATATTCTCCTATTTTGCTATTGCATATTGGTTGCACCGCCTTTCTCTTTGCCCTAGTGCCGGAGAGAGACCACACAATAAATTGGAGACAAAAAAAACAAATATAAAGTCCTAATTTGTATTCATGAATCCTGTACAATAGCCTTCATACTTAGCTTTGAGAATCCTAGACATTATAGAAATATAGACACAATTATAGAGCAAGTACAAATGTATTCAGCGTCTTGGATTCAATTTGTCATCTAACAAGAAACCATCCAGTCCAAAGTATTGCCTTATTGCTCTGACTGATTTGCCGTGTCAAACGCGGTTTCAGCAAAGGCATTTCGGCTTAATGAAAAATCATTTTGGGACGATTGGCTGGCTTGAATTTAATTACAAAATTAAATGATAAATTGTAGAAATGTTTTGCAGGCTTATTGGATCCATTAGCTTCACACTAAGAACTGTGATAATGACACAAATTAGAAAAGAGTGAGCTTTTTTACAAGTTTTTACAAGGTTTGGACTTAGCAGCAGTCGTTGTTACGTTATAGGTTAGATAATAGGTTTGTGTAATATGATATTTACATGCACTAAACCCCCACAAAAATTGGTCAACAAAAAAATTACGGCTACCCAGATCCTCTTGACTTCTCACCTGAACGCCGATCTCTGCCATATTTAAAAGTACCGGGCATACCACCTGATCACGTTACCATAGCAACCCAAACATTATAGCTCTCAATCCATGGTAATCCTGTATTGCAGATAAACCATGCAGCATATCGCAAATCTGCATGTAAAATATAATGCAAATAGTCCATCATTTGTGCTTTGATCGTCAAGCCACTATTTTATAATATATAGCAAAAAACAAATCATGTTGTCAAAGAAAAACAAACATAATGCATACAAATCATCATTGTAAGTATGAGTAGTTTTGTTTTTCTACCTTATTAACATTTACAATGAGAAATATGTGTGTTGGGTTTTCTCATAAATATGATGTAATGTATGCTGTAAGTTGGAGACATTCCAAGGAACAAAGACATTCTAATAGAAAAGCAAAAACAACTTCTAAATGATTATAAATTGAAGCGACACTGTTGCGTAACCACATAAATGGCTCTTTCCACCGCTGCAGTTTGGCCGGGATTCCAGTTCGATCCGCTCTCTTTAACAGTGATTCAGACAAATTATCTGCTGCGGAATGAGAAGTGCGAGTGTATTTCTTAAAAGTAATTTATGTTCTTCTCATTACTCTGCACTTACACTGCCTCTGTCTCAGCCGGTGCCCAGTGCTGGTGCGATGGATAGGGCCGTTTTAAGAGCAGTGTCACTGGAGGGCGGGCTGCAGAAATGAGCTTGTAATCCTCGAGCTCTCCCTCTGACTGTTTGGGATAAGACCACTCCCACCCCCACTGTGCCTCTTCCACTAGAGCAGCTGGAGCCATTAGACTTTATATTGCCTAATTATAACATGGATAGTTGAGGTAACACGTTAGAAGAAGGTGTTTTAGTTTTACTGTTTAATGGAGAATTTATACTAAAGGCCTTTTTGGCTATAGGTTGTATTGGTTTGTGGCATGGGCATAACTCTGTCACCTTGAATCTGAGATCATCTAAATGCATGCGTCACTCTATAAATCTACTTTGAAAAGGTGTAAATGAAAAGGGAGCAATTATATCATGTTTGAAAGTGCGGCTGCAAGATCCATTCAAATCTCACTTTGAATGGAGGCAATGAAAACCATGCAAAATCATGTTTGCACCAACTGCTTATTATATTTCTATATCTAGTCCCTGAGATGATACATTGGTCTTTCCATCTTCAGGCTGTCTTGGTTGCTCAATATATTTTTTCCATGGTTACTAACAAACAATGCAAGTCTATCATTTGATTTCAGTATTATTCATTTTATTTCATCATTTGACATCACTATCTGCGCAAACACATGAGTGAGAGATTATACATCATGTGCCAGTTTGTCCTGACACACACACATACACACACATTCACGCACACACACATACATACAGACATACACACACACATACACACGCACATACACAGACACACTCGCACACACACACATAAACACGCACCTCGCACACACACACACACACACACATGCATGCACACTCACAAACACACCCACTCACACTTATACATGCACATACAAACACATGAACACACACTCACTGCACACACACACAAACGCACACAACGTTCAAAACATGCACACACGTAAACGCACACCACGCTCACATGGACATGCACGCACACACGCGCACGCGCACACCCACACATGCACATATACAAACATACAGACACACTCGCACACACATACATAGACGCGCACCACGCACACACACATATGCATACACACTCACAAACTCACACACTCACAAACTCACGCACTCACAAACGCACACAACGTTCAATCATATGCACACATGCACACACACGTAAACGCACACCATGCTCACATGGACATGCGCGCACACACACACACAGATTTTTTTAAGTGGCCTATTATCACAGTTTGGCCGTAACGTGTAATAAAGTAATCTGATTACCTTGTGAACGGTGTGTGGTTTCGGAGCCCAGCATGTCACACCAAAGACTGGTCAATATTGTTACAGTTTTTTCCTGTTGCCTGAACACATTTTGCAAAATTTCGCTCATAGTCCCAAAACTCTAAACACAAGATGATCTGACACAACACTGGGACATAAACCATACACATCTGTCTCAAAATCAAACTCCTTTATCAAAACTCAAACTCTGTTCTCAAAATTCAAACTCTGTTCTCAAAACTCAAACTCTGCTCTCAAAAATAAACAATCATTTGTCAAAATGAAACTCTGAGGACAAAATGACACACACATGCATCATGTGAACACACTTTCAGATTGGAAGCAACACACTGCAGTACTTTATATAAAACACTACAGTACTTTATATAAAACACTAGTCTTTCATTTTCCACTGTTTTTATTCTGTTTCTCAATTAACTTGAAGCTCAAAGTTCTTGTTCTCAACAAAGGTTTACCAACAAACAAAAATGAAAGTACTGAGAGGTTACAAAATACTAACTCAATATTGTACATCATAGTATACTTTACAGTACAGTAAAATGCAGTAAACAAAATATAAATAAAAATGTAAAACTATAGGCAATAGTGCGTGGGTGGCATTATGGATCCCGGCGTCTGTCTGGGTCTGGCCACAGGATCTCATCCACATCGCAAGCGATATGTTCTCCTGCTAAGCAACGGGGGAAGAAACTCCTTGTGTGTCGAATCCATCCATGGATGGACGTTACCTCAATGTCTCTGCATGCCTCTTCCATCGCCTGAAGCAGAGGCATCCGAGCGTGGGGTTGGCGGTCATACACGCGCCATCTCCAAGCGGAAAAAAATTCCTCTTTAGGGTTCAGGAATGGTGAGTAAGGAGGCAAGTAAACAACTTGGAATTGAGCATGGTGGGCGAACCAGTTGTGGACCAGAGCAGCCCGGTGGAAACTAACATTATCCCAGACAATCACAAACCTGGGCTGCTCTGGTCTGTCCCGTTCAAGTGCATCATGAAGTGCATCTAGAAATGCTAGTATTTGCTGTGTATTGTAGGGGCCTAGGTTGGCACGATGATGTAGTAACCCTCGAAGGCTTATGGCGGCACACAATGTGATGTTTCCCCCGCGTTGCCCTGGGACATGCACAATTGCCCTTTGACCAATTATGTTATGACCCCGTCGTCTAGTTTTGTTGAGGTTGAAACCAGCTTCATCAATGTAGATGAATTCATGTAGTTGTACAGCTCCATCCATGTCCAAGATTCTCTGCAACAACAAAATACATAGCATGAATGGCTGGCATTACTCAAAACACAGTACTACACACACAGAGTCACACCCCTCCCTACAACACAAACACACCAGTGCCTTTTTCCCTCTTTGCATGTATGCGGTACTGGTACAATGGCACAGCTATTACTGTAATGAATTACATAAATTGCAATACAGTAAAAGACTGCAAAACTTACTTGTACATATTCTTGTCGAAGTCTTATGACCCTGACACTGTTCCTCTCAAACGGGACCCTGTACAACTGCTTCATTGTCAGTTGGTGCTTTGCCAAGACACGTCCAATCGTGGTGAGGCTTACTTCATTGATGTTTACAAATACTTGCCCATCTGCAATAATCTTTTGTTGTAGCTGGCGGAGAGAGATTGCGTTGTTTTCTCTGACAATTTCTACAATGGCAAGTTCCTGCAGTTGAGTGAACATGTGTTGCCGACCCCCTCCAAAAGGTCTTCTAGTCATTCTGTAGAAATATGCAACCACAAATTGTTACTACGGGTTTAGTTATTTTTTACAGCACTGTATACTGTTCACAGTACTGTGACATCTCAATGGTACAGTGCTATGTACCAAGCCAACTTGAAATACAGTACATGTGATACGGAAAAGTACTGTAAATACTGTAGATGCTGTAAATACAGTAAAGAGTTGGAGACATACCTGTTTTCCAGTCTGAAGGTCCTTATGATGGATGCAACTGTGAACTCAGGTGTGGGTGGACTCTCTGGCCAGCTTCCCTCATTGTGAGGCCATGATTGATGACATGATCAACCAATGTTGCTCTAATATCATCAGATATAATGTTTCGTACATGGCCTCTTCGACCACGTCCTCCTCCTCTTGCTCCTTGTCTTCCTCTTCCTCTACCTCTACCTCTTGCTCTTCCTGCCTCCTCCATACTTGCAAAGTTCTAAAGAAGGCTGAAATGAGGCCCATTTATGTCTGACTGATGTGTGTCACGTTTTGTAAGTAAGTGTTTTCAGGTGTGTGTCTGAGTGTTTTCAATCACACAGTGTGTTTGGTATTTTGAATAGATGTGTTTTCCCAATGATAAACACAGGATTGCATTTATGAACAAAGTGTCTTATGTATGACACAGTGTGTAGTGAGCATGAGAAAGTGTGTTGCAGAAAGAGAAAGTGTGTTGCAGAAAGAGAAAGTGTGTTCCAAAAGGAGAAAGTGTGTTGTAGAAATGAAAGTAGAGTGCAAAGCAGTACTTTTGTTTAAGCAATGGTCAGTCTGTGTTTTAGGTTTAGAACAAAAGTTTCAGGTTCTGTAACTTTGGTCTAAGCGTCTGTCTATAGTGTTCAAGCAGTAGGAAAAAACTGTAATAAATATCCTCATAATGTGTGTGTTCAGATTAGAAATGTGGAGACAAACCAGTGCGTGGACAACATGGGGAGAAAAGAGAACGAGAAGGTGGGCTTCTTCAACTGCCACGGCATGGGAGGCAATCAGGTGAGACGTCTATCTGCACCAACTCCTGTAACAGGGCGGCTGCTTCTGGAGCACAAGGACAGGATTGGAATAAAACCTGAAATTATTAATAATGTAGTGAATGTTGTTTTAATGGCATGATCATAAAATTAAGATTGAGATTAAGAGATCCTTTATTTTTCCAACAGTGGTTTAATGTCAGTGTTGTATCACCAGTTACAGAACAGTAGGAATGAGGAGCACACAACACAAGATAACAATAACTCTATACCCCTTACTCTTTTTTACTTTTTAGATAATAAAATCTCTAACTCTAGCATGAAAGGAAGCAGTATACAATCTCTATTTTTAACATAATAAGGAAGTCTACAATCGCAAAAACAGATCTAGTTGTTGATAGGTTGTACAATTCCTTTGGCTAGAATCTTCCACATGTTTTGTGATTGGCAGTACATTTGAAAGAACATGCTCAAGAAGGGGTTGTTTGTAATGCACTAAAATATATCTGGTTTTTCACCAATACTACTTGGTATAAGGCAAACTGTAAGTCTTGTTTATTTATTCATTTATTTATTTATTCAGACGGCGATAGAACAATTAAAGTAAGAGCAACTTAATAAATAAAAAATGAACAAATGAAGTACATAAAAGAAACAACCAACATTTACTGTATGATCTCATCTGCCTAGAAGGAGGCAACTAAGTCCGTCTGAAAAGGAGTGGAGGAAGTAAACACTTATAGAATCCCACCCCTTTCTTCTGCTCTTCAATTTTGTAACTTAAAAGACTTCTCTTTAAAAAATATTTTAGCTCTGTATACAAGTTATAATACACATTTTAGTTCTGTATACAAGTTATAATACACATTTTTGCTCTGTATACAAGTTATAAACTCCACATTTTAGCTCTGAATACAGGTTACAATATACATATATATTGTTATATTTTCCTAGTTTATAAAAAAAAATTCTTTCATGCCAGACCAATATTATAACATAGTCTATTTCATTATTTTCGTCAGACAGATTCAAACATATAGAACATTGTGAAAAAGTTCAACCATTTTGTCAGTATTTTTTTTAATTGACTCATTCAGCAGTTTTTACATTAACAATTTACACGATGTTACATTTGTCTCTTGTGTATTAGTACTTGTACATTTGCTTACAAGTTTCTTTTGGGTTTTTTTCTTTACATAATAATACAAAAAATACATTTTGTCAGTATTTTCAAAAAGTGAAAACTACAAAAATCCTTTCACTTTCAAAAATGACTTTATGCATGTAATTGCACAAACCCGGTTGAAAAATAAGCTTGGTTATTATTGAAAGGTCATCCTCACAGTATATGTCTCTTTTTAATATCTCAGTAATACGGCACACTCGCCCTGTCCCTGTTGTGTATTGACATTTCTGTTCGCTTCCCGAAATATCCTCCGATCATTATTATGGCGATCCAACAAACAAAGGCGATCTGCTTAAAAAGAATGTTTCTTGTTTTGTAAGCTTTTTGCGAGAATACTGTACTAATACGTGCCGTGGAATACTGTATGTTATTAATAGACCGAGCTAAGGCACTATCTTCTGCCATCTGTCATATTCCTCAGGGCTATTTCAAGTGTAATGATGTAAAATGCAAATGTCTAAATTTCCAGTTGTGACTTTTTTCCGTTCATTGCTTTTGCTTTTGACGTGACTTTTTTTCCAACTTTCCAATAAAATACTTTCCTTGGCAGTTTGAACTTTGGCAGCTTGGGAACAACAGCACATGAGCCAGTCTTAATCATGAATGACAAATCAGATCAACCATTTTGTTTTGATGACTTTTTACCATTTGCATCTGCAGTTACTCAGCTCGATCTTTAAAAACAGGACGGCAAACAAAAGGCAACGTTAGAACTGCCAGAATAACAGCATTCATAATCCTGAAAATGACAGATACATATAGAAACAACTCTCGCACACTGAACTTGAATACACCAGTTTTTTTGCAAATAAGAAAATAATAATGAGGTGTAAGGCCAAAGCGTTGCACATCGAAGTCTGCCCTTACACACAAGTCAGATGTGCAAAATGTTCCGCTTTTTACATAGTATAAACAAAACACATATCCCTAACTCCTTTTGAAAATGAGTATTGATTATTGATGTCAATGTTATTAAAGCTGGGGTACCGAACTTGTTTCTTAAGTAATACATGTTGTTTTTCCCAACAAAACAGAGGTCAAATCTTATGCACAAATTGGATCACAAAATGCGGTCTTAATATTGTTAGAAATGATCTTGTTCACACTGTGAGTCCCTGTGAGACCCTTTTTAATGCATTTTGGGCTGAGAGCTGATTGGCTGAGTGACTGTGGTCCTCTCTGATAAAGGTCAACGTGTGTGAAAACCAGTGACAGAACCAAACTGTTGTAAGAGCTGGAAATGAGTTAGATGGATTTTATTACATAGGTTTGGATCTATGTAAGTTTGGGTATCCCAGTTTAAAGTGAATCAGTATTTTATTGTGATTATTTATCTATTAAGGCGCACTGCTAAAATGAAAGGCTTTTATTCTTATAGATTAAGACAGGACAGTAGGAATGAGGAGCACACAGCACAGGTTAAATGAATAATAACTCTATACGGATTTCAAATTAAATAAAATAAAATCTCTAACTCTATCATAAAAAGAAGCAGTATCAAATCTCTATCTTTAGCATATTAAGGAAAGAAGTCTTAGAATCTCCATCTTCAGCATGATGAAGAAGCAAGACTGAAGTACTGTACAAAAACCCCTCCCCTTAGCATAATCAGGAGCATAAAGTATAAAATGCAGTATATATAGTGCAAGTAATATATAGTTGTGAGTTATAGTGCTCAGGATTGGTCTGAGGATGCAATGGCCCCATAATTGTCAAGACTCTTTTCAATTGCAACATTTCTGAACTGTTTCAAAATCGTAAATTGGGGTGATGACTGTCCCTCACACGCAACTGCTTTTACGTTTTTACAATACTTAGTCAAAGTGCGATAGAGTCCACTTCAATTGGACTAAGTGAGGACGCACACTTAAGCTTGATTTAACTGAACAAGCATTAAATATCTTCTACGTCAAGGAATTTCTCACTGCACTTGCTTATTTTGAACAGTGTTTTAAGTGCTGTTTACATTTCATTATTATTATTATTCGGAAGCTCATGAAGGAACGGTTAGATTGTCTACAGCATAATAAGGAAAAATGCTGTTGTTTTGTTCAGGTGTGTCAAACATGTCAATTATTCATATTTCGCACTAAAATATTCCTCCCACTAACGCTGGTGACTGTGACGTGGCTGAGGTGTCCGTGCTGGTGTGTGTGCAGGTGTTCTCCTACACGGCCGATAAGGAGATCCGCACAGACGACCTCTGCCTGGACGTGTCGCGGCTCAACGGCCCCGTGGTCATGCTCAAGTGCCACCACATGAAGGGCAATCAGATGTTTGAGTACGATGCGGAGGTAAACAGAGACACAACACACACACAACACACACACACCCCCACACACACATACACACACATACTTTGGCACTGCAGGTTCATACAGATACTGCCATAGACGTTTTGGAGAAAATCTAAAGCAGAAATAGGATGATTAAAACGTACATTTAAGTCACTTTTGGTATTTGTGTTATTACAACTAGCAATTTTCTATGACCAATTTATTGCTCAGCCTGTTTTGTCTTTTGACACCCCATAATTGTTAAACTCCAAGTATCATTCCACGTGCCTTGGTTTCTGCATTCATCTCCACTGAGGTCCCTGTTCCCCTGATTGGAAAACCTTGCTTTAGAGTCTATGGGGTTCAACGAGACTATTGTACTACTCTGACAAAAGATTTTAAAGTTGCTATTATAAAACATGTGGATAATCTGTAGTAAACTAATGTGATACATTCATACATAGATAAGATTATGATAAGCTCACACTGGTCAGGCTTGCTCAGACATGGCCACTAGATGGAGCTGTTTGTTAGTCTTTCTCTTGCACACATCAGCTGTACTGTATCTGTTGTTCTCTCTCATAGTATGTTGGCAAATGGGAGTATGACTTCGAGGTAAGACTTTAGCTGTGAAACGTTGTGAAAATCCTCTCTCCTGATAATCCTACATCTGCCCAAGAACATAGTCTGTGTGTTTACATGTCAGTGGTGAGTAGAGTAGACAATACATGTAGACATCTTTAAATCCTGTTCGTTTGGCTATGTCCATATGAACTGTACTGCTGTCTATCCTTTCAACATTTCTCCACAACATTTAGACTTGAACTAGAATAAAAATGTCTTCTGTCAATTTTGATTCTCCTCCTCGCCATGTGGCCTACTCTCCAGATCCATTACGTCATAAAGTATGGCTTTTTTCAACAGTTACAGAATAAATATACACGCATATACAGTACAGTACATATATCTTGCTCCTTCATTTCGTCTAAAATGTGTTCAAATATTTGCTCAGATTCAAAGTACAGTGAGAATGGAAGATCAAGTTGCATATTTTGGCTTTAAATACTAAAGGCAATGCCAAGTTTAGAGACGCCCCAGTGGTACAGAGTGGTTCATATGGCTCCAAAAAGCCTTTTATCATCAACAAAGTATTAATATTTCAATGACAAAGTGAGAAGAGCAGAGCATGATTGAGATGTCCTATCTATCTGTCATGTGTCGCCGTGACGCTGAGAGAAAAGCCCAGAAGCTCCGGTCGTGTTTTAAAGCAGCCCTCGGAGAAATCCATTCATTACACTTTGTTCTGTGGGTGCATTCTTAATAAGAAAATATGAATTATGCATGTTCAAAAGACTAGTCCCGGTTGTAAACAGCGCTACTAGGGTTTGTGCTGTCAGGGGACCAAGTTATTTTTAGCCCCCCGAATGACAGACAGGAGCGGGGTCTACTGTAGCTATAGCGATTGATTCATTTTGGCGTTATTTCAACATTTTGACCTGTCTGGCCTATTCAGAAAGCGAGAGACACTCTTTGGTTTCATTTCAGTATCTTTGTGCTGGTTCAGCTGCTTGACTGAAGTGTGTCCAGAATGCTCTCACATCAAAAAGCTTGTGCTATACATTGAAGTGACAGATCTTTCTCCCTCTGTTACATTTATGGATGACTTCATATCGAAAAGGACACGTTCTGCCACTTTCTTATTTTTCCCCCTCAACGTTTTTTCTCAGAGCTGGACATTTCAAAGTTCATCAAGTCAATAGTCAATCTCATATGTGTTTTACCAGCCCTGGGCTAAGCTTTTGCAGCCAGCACACCGGTTCCCAGCTGGGTGTAGCTGGCTTTCAAGTTGCACAACAAAGCTATATTTCTCTGTTATGGACGGAATAAAAGCCTTGTTCTTGCATTTTCCAAACGCAGGGTTACTTCACTAAGGCAGAAAAATATCTAATATGTTTGAAATCAATGTATTTATTTTGTATAGCCTTATTTCATCTTGGAGGACTTCTCAAAATTGTTAATTTGCTAAAAACATCTAGAACACACCCAAAGATACCCGGGACTCACAACTTTCAACAACATTTATGGATATTTACCAAAACTTATGGACATTGGTCATCTGCCCCTTATGGACTAATACCAATGTGCTTTCTGCTTTATTTCTTGTGTTTGAACTGTTTGATTCTATGATCTGTGTTGGCAAATTCAACTGTTTTGTTAAGTCCTCCAAGATAACTACTGTTGTGATTTAGTGCTATACAAGAATACTTTGAATTAAATTGAATTTATTTATTTATTTACTCATTTGAGAGGATAAACCCCTTGAGCTGCATCATCTTGTTTACAAGAGGGTCCTCAAAAGAATTACAAAAAGCAAAAACACAAGACAGAAAACAGCAGTACAGGCTCAGAACCAAAAAATAATAATAAAGTAAAATTAAAAATAAAAAAAGACAGGATGAAACAAAAAAACAAAAACAAACAAGCGACAACAGACACACACACACAGACACTCACACAGCTCTATAGTAAACAAAAACAGTTAAGAGTAGGACATTGTAGAACACGCATTTCAAAAACAATTACAAGGCGTCTGTAGATAAGATTCAAGTGAATTGAATTGAACTCACAAAATGCAATCATAAAACAAACACATAGGAGCCATTGGTCCATAGGGTAGCGAAATGATCAATGTCCAATGTTTCTTGCATAGTAGAGTCAATGACTGTAGGAGATGATATGTTTATGTATTAAATGTTTGCAAGGGCCATAAAGTTTCTTGATTTGATAAAGCAGAGGAGCATTTCTGTCGTAATTTTACTTAAAATTCACACAACTCTAATCCAAACATTGAAAGCACGCTAAATAAACTCATTTTCTGGCCTGTGTTTCCTTCAGACGCAGCTTGATTGACAGAATTGCCTTGTGCATGTCACGGCGTGGTGTTTTAGATGACGAACGACCTGTCAACACAGATGAATCTATTATACATCTAGCGAAGACGAAAAGGTCGCGTTGGTTAATTGCAGCCTTCATCACCTTTAATTCTTACAGAACAGGCCTTATTTGAACCCTAAACGCCTACCCCTGTGCTGTATTTAGAGCAGATGGTTTATTTTAGCAAACAACAGATGCCTCTCAGACTTACCTTCACCACCATCTGTCCCATGCACTCCCGGGCCGGCCCAACAGAAGCACACCTTTCTTCACATCATCACCCAGTCATGTCTGACCATCAGCCGGCTGGAGGACGGCACGTACGGCCCCACGGTGGAGTACTGTAACAATAGTCCTCTCCAGTCCTGGACCCTGAGGAACCTGAGCCAGCTGGAGGTGGCCCGCCGCCTCTACTTCAGCCCCACTGATTACATTCTGTAGAGGGCCGCGTGGAGAGGCCACAGGTCAGTGAGCTATAGAGCTGGTGACGTAGAGAGTGCCCATTAGTGTGTTGTACCGGAGGTAGTAGTTGGTAGATTGCCTTGCTTGTCGTTCAGTTGTAGCTGAGAAATGTCTGATTTTCTATGGCCTTTACGAGGGCGTATTGAGCTAAATTGACTTTTAAGAGCTAGTCTGGGCGGCACCTTGTTTGCGTGTCGTTATATGTTGTATCATTCTGTTTGTCAAACTATATCAACGCTGGTTTTGGAATAAGCAATGAAATGAAATAAATTAACTCTCGCTTCTCAGAAAGAAGGTCCTGGGTTCAAAATCCCGGTCAGAACATTGCCTTTCTGAGTGAAGTTTGCATGTTCTCCCTGTGTCTGCGTAGTTTTCCTCCTAGTGCTCCGGTTTTCCCTATACCACTAGAAACACGCACGATAGGTCTGGTATGCGCCTCCTGTACGGCGACCTCGCTCCCATCTCTCTGTGGAGTGAGAGACAAATGTAACAACATTTGTAAAGCGCTTTGTGGACTCTGGTCTGTGAAATGCGCTAAATAAATAAAACGTACTTACTCACTTACTACTAGGACTACACTGCACACTGCTTTGTAATCAAGACATGTCTACGTCCATTCATAAGTCATGGTTGAAATCAGTGAAGCAAATCCGTTGGACGGCAAGTGACTCCAGAAATACTTTTCCTCGGTCACGTGGTGTCACTGGCGGCCAAATCAGCCTCAAAGATCTGAGGACATCTGCGGTAGGATGTGCAGATGCTGATCGTGTGTTTTCAAATCAGATCTCCCCAGACGCTTCCCCCCCTTTTCATTACCGCTCTTCTACACAAATGATATCACCTGAAATCGCATTTTCTAGTCCTAATGGGAACCTACTTTGAATCGGCCAATAGATTATAAGTAAGTAAGGTGGCTTCATTTTAAAGCCACCTTATTTGAAATTGAAATATTACCAAATCTTATGTAAATCTTATGTAATACCATCGTGAGAATATGAATATGCAGTGGGTTTAAATTCAATATGTAGGAATCTAATTTTAGGGGGTGAAAAAAATGGCTCTCCAACACGACACTATTTATATCTATATTCTCTTTTCAGGAGCGTTGCAGAATTGATAAAGTCTATATATGCTTATAAATACAAATGCTTTTGTCTTTGGCTGGAGTGTTCCCAGGACACAGCACAGACTGGGTAATCGCATTGCACTAATTATAACACAAGGCTGCCTCTGAATCACCGTTCTAATCTCTGTACTGCACTTTATATTGATCACGCCTTCTTGTTGCGGTATTGATTAGGCTGACAGGATGCTCGACTTGTTTAGAGCGGTTTTGTAGTTAAAAAAGACACATTATAAGTGTCAGGCTGTGTGTATCTGTAGAACATTAGTTTGATTGTAAACTGCAATGTTGCGTTAAAAAATAAAGTTGGAACATTTGAACTGAGAGATGTTCATGGGGCAATTTATTATTTTGTTGTTGAAAATACATCCTCCAAGTCCAAGCGCTGAAATAATTGGAATAATCATAAATAAGAACGGACCAGTAGTAAGGGACGGCAGATATTTACTATTTGTTGTGAGTGGTTGGATGGATCTATGGAGCAGACTTTGTTGTGACTGTGAAAGTTTATCTTGACAATCGAATGCATAAATAATGTGAACATTTCTAAATAAATAGGGAGCGTTGAGAAAGTGATGAATACATTTATCATTGTTATTTTTTAGGCTTACTTTTCAGACTCCTTACACGGATACTGTATATATTTGGCTTATTCTGCATTCTCGACTGAAGTGTGTTTCCTCTTTAAAGGGGTTTCTATCCACATTTCTATTCTATGCCATATGAACCAACCTGGAGGAGCACAAGGATTGGCCTCCTGCTGGGACTGAGGAGCACAGGGACTGGCCTCCTGCTGGGACTCTGAGGAGCACAGGGACTGGCCTCCTGCTGGGACTCTGAGGAGCACAGGGACATGCCTCCTGCTGATGCCAGAGTCAGAACTAAAAATAAGGAGTCAGATTCCTACAGCTAAAATCTACACAGTCTGAGTCCTGAAAATGATACAGACCTCTATACTGTCAATGTCAATGTCAACTTTAGTAAAATGGTAAAACTCAATTGGTGTTAAAAGCCAAGGTGTAAAAATGTGTTTTTAAACTAGACTTGAAAACTTCCAATGAAAGAGCTGCTCTAATGAACTGTGCACATATAGAAAGCAGTTCTATTTAGTTATCCTTACCTTTTTATATATATGCCTTTTGATGGCTATTTTGAATGAGTTGTATAATGTTGTATGCTCTATAAATACATTTTGACTTGATTTGATTTAAAGTAACCCTAACCAAACAGACAGCATTAAGGCGTAAGGCCGTTCTTCCAGCGGTGACCTTTCCAACGCGTCCTTTAAGCGACGTCAAGGAACCGTCCCATTTAGACAGCGGAGTCCGTAAGATCTCAACTTCAAGACCTTTGCCAGTTTTCGCGCTAAATTAGATCTCATTTGACATTTATTCCCTGGCATAAATATTTCAGTCCAGAACTCTCTCCGTCGCAGCAGCAGTAGTGACGGCAGTAGGTGGGTGATGCAGTGGATGATGTTTATTTTGGCTTATCATTGGATGTACGACGTGGATTGAAATGGGCTTGCTATTGTGAACAAGTCCTTTTGAAGTGATGCTCTGCGCTGAACCTGTCTTTCATGGAGCTGTCCTCTCCAGAGCCTCTCCTGTCCCCCCCAAAGCAGCTGTGTACACTCTGTTCCATGCGCCTATTGTGAAAAACAATCATATTATCGCCTCTCGTCACACAGACATTTGCATATTTTTCCAAGCAGGAAGTATGAAGGGAGTGCTTATCGGTTTGTGTGCAGAGATAAGTTTTTAGTCAAATTTATGTGGAAAAGTACTGGCTGTGGAACGAAATTTATTGGATTATTTAAACTTTTGTAACAAATAAAAAACTGAAAAGTGGGGCGTGCAATATTATTCGGCCCCCTTGCACTAATAATTTGTAGCGCCACCTTTTGCTGCAATTACAGCTGCAAGTCGCTTGGGGTATGTCTCTATCAGTTTTGCACATCGAGAGACTGGAATTCTTGCCCATTCTTCCTTGCAACACAGCTCGAGCTCAGTGAGGTTGGATGGAGAGCGTTTGTGAACAGCAGTCTTCAGCTCTTTCCACAGATTCTCGATTGGATTCAGGTCTGGACTTTGACTTGGCCATTCTAACACCTGGATACGTCTATTTGTGAACCATTCCATTGTAGATTTGGCTTTATGTTTTGGATCATTGTCCTGTTGGAAGATAAATCTCCGTCCCAGTCTCAGGTCTTTTGCAGACTCAAACAGGTTTTCTTCCAGAATGGTCCTGTATTTGGCTCCATCCATCTTTCCTGTCCCTGCTGAAGAAAAGCAGGCCCAAACCATGATGCTGCTACCACCATGTTTGACAGTGGGGATGGTGTGTTCAGGGTGATGAGCTGTGTTGCTTTTACGCCAAACATATTGTTTTGCATTGTGGCCAAAAAGTTTGATTTTGGTTTCTTCTGACCAGAGCACCTTCTTCCACATGTTTAGTGTGTCTCCCAGGTGGCTTGTGGCAAACTTTAAATGAGACTTTTTATGGATATCTTTGAGAAATGGCTTTCTTCTTGCCACTCTTCCATAAAGGCCAGATTTGTGCAGTGCACGACTGATTGTTGTCCTATGGACAGACTCTCCCACGTCAGCTGTAGTTATCTGCAGTTCATCCAGAGTGATCATGGGCCTCTTGGCTGCATCTCTGATCAGTCTGCTACTTGTTTGAGATGAAAGTTTGGAGGGATGGCCGGGTCTTGGTAGATTTGCAGTGGTCTGATACTCCTTCCATTTCAATATAATTTCTTGCACAGTGCTCCTTGAGATGTTTAAAGCTTGGGAAATCTTTTTGTATCCAAATCCGGCTTTAAACTTCTCCACAACAGTATCTCGGACCTGCCTGGTGTGTTCCTTTGTCTTCATGGTTCTCTCTGCGCTTTAAACAGAACCCTGAGACTATCAAAGAGCAGGTGCATTTATACGGAGACTTGATTACACACAGGTGCATTCTATTTATCATCATCAGTCATTTAGGACAACATTGGATCATTCAAAGATCCTCACTGAACTTCTGGAGTGAGTTTGCTGCACTGAAAGTTTTTTATTTGTTAAAAAAGTTTAAATTATCCAATACATTTCGTTCCACTTCACGATTGTGTCCCACTTGTTGTTGATTCTTGACAAAAAATTAAAATTTTTATATCTTTATGTTTGAAGCCTGAAATGTGACAAAATGTTGAAAGGTTCAAGGGGGACGAATACTTTCGCAAGGCACTGTATGTACAGTCTGTGGTTCAATCTTTGTATTTGTTTCTGCGTTTCATGTCCAAAGTGACGTAATGTAGCTAAAGCTAACTCCCTAGTTTCAAACCAAAGATTATAACAGAAATCTTTTAGCTTTATTCCTACAGCCTCTTGATTATTATTGTTAGAATTTTAAAAAGTTGAGTCTAAAAGTGCCTTAATGAGCAGACTGTACACTGGAGCAGCTAAAGCAGATGGAAAATGTCATGGTTAACTGGCAGAAGCAGCAGATGAGGAATAATCACTCTCAGCGTTTTATGAAGTGTGTCCAGAAAGTAATTTTAAAGTTATTCCAAGTTTTACCAAGTTTATTCTTCAAGTTGAATCTTTTTTGCTCCTCTACAGAAATGGTCCTATATTCATGAGGACACTAATGGCTGTTTACTTCTGTAACATGGAGGAAAGTTTGTAAATATGTTCTATGCATCTTTCACAGACGATACAAACTTGTATCCTTTTTCTGAACCATCTCCAAACTTTTTGCTGTGCAGAGGAGCATTGGGAGTCAAGCTGTTATGTCGTTTTATGTTTTTATAGATTATATTCTATACTTTACGGTGCATTCCACAACTATCCTGGTGGCAACCCTTTTTTTG